TTCTAGTACCAGGAATATGGCAGTTTCGTTGTTTTAATGTCAGCCCCTTTCTCATTATAAATCAGATTACGAAGTGCTTGTGATAATCAACCCATTCGCAGCTTTTAGCTTTCTTCCCTTCGTCATATACATCTGCTTAAATCTTTCCCATTTAATATTTCTTTCTTCGATCTATATTCGCGTATTTGGACGATTCGTTATTATTATCGTTATTCGACTCATATTAATTCACTAAATCCGTTTCAAGACTTTCCATTGTCTTTCTTTCCTTCTTTCCTTCTCTCTTCTCTTCTTTTTTATACATAAGGAAAGATTCATTTTCTCTATAATTCAGTCTTCTGTTCGTTCCAATTCCGTATCCTTTTTTGTGTTCAAAAGTTCCGCGTATTTCAAACCTCTAACCTTCTTCTTTCTGATTGGTTCGGCGCTGCGCCATTTTCACCAGGGTATCTTCTGATGTTACCTAACCTGTCGCGCTTATATGTATTCACACCGTCACGTTCTACGGCCTCCTCCAGAGGTTAGGTGCTCCAATAAACTTGAGAGAGAGACAGAAAGAGAGATCGATTAATCACGCGGGATTTCTGAAGACTCCCCGTTCCTCGTATAAACCGCAGGTATTGTAAGTCGCTGTGTTTCTTATCATTTATTTGTTATTAATTCAGCCTTTCCAACTTCGCATACTATGAGTTTCTGTGTATTAATATCGTTTGAATTCTCTAATATCCTTGGTCGATTCATTAGATTTATCCGTTTGTCTTCTCATAGAGTTGTATTATAATGATAATCACCTCCGGAGTTTCCCAACAGACAATTTCTGTATTTATACCTCCCTTGTGTAACCCCTGAGGTAGGTTCTTGCGTTGATTAATTAATTAATTATTACTCATAGTGTTCGAAGTGAGACCAGCTTCGTGTCATCGATTCGATTTCATTATTTAATTTCACTTGTCCTTCATACTTTCCAGATTGTTAATTTGTTTTTATATTCGCGGTGACTCAGCCGGCTAGCGAAACGTTACGCCGTTTCTTATAGCCGGTGTCTTTTTAATTATGCGAAATAACCGAAATATTAACAATCCACCCATTAATTGATTACTAGAACATTATCAATTCCATTTCGGTTGCATTTCAATTTCAATTTTAGGTAAGGTGAACGTACCCTCGCGAGTGTGGCAATCAGAATCCTTTAGGTAAGGTAAATCCATTTGCCGAGGTCAGGTCAGGTGCATGCCTTTGGTTAGGCTTTAAAAAGGGGGAAGCAACTGTCTCAATTTCTCCACGATTTCTGGGTAAAGTAAGATCGTCTCCATCATTAATTAATTGCTAGAACGTTACCAATTCTATTTCCATTGCG